ATGGTGGTCAGGAGTTGAAACCAGCAATGTTGTTCCCAGAAACTGTGCTTTTAACCACTGTTGGCAGCAAGATTTATTAATGCCTGATTGTCCTTGGGGCTGCCCAAAGCATATTCAAAGGCCTGTCTCTGCCCTTTAGTTACTTATGGATGGGGGAGGTGAGACCTCCACCTGCAAATAAAGTGGGGAGTATTCAAATAATATGTATGGGGTGTTTGGACCGTGTGATAATGAAAAGCCTCATTTTGTGAGGCTAATTAGAAGTTTAGTTAAAGTTTTCCTATCTATGACCTCCTCTGAATTACCATATTCTTCATTCCACCGTCACAGGAAAGGATGGGACAAGAAGTAGTATGCTTACAAAATCCCTCCTTTTATGTAGCTATTGAGATTTCCAGCATACCCATCACCCCACACAAGCCACATAACAGAAAGGATTAGTTTCTCCAGTTCTTCCTTCCGTTAATGTGAAGATGTCGGAAAGGAGAAGATCCAGAATTGGAAGGCTGCTGAGAGGAAGACACTTCATTAGACAGCGTGAAGAGGCAAGACTCAGGTGCTTGTCCCTTTTGCTCACACAATGAAGACTATTTGAAAAGAGAATTCTTATCACTGAATTCTACCGTGAGCACAGCACTTGGCCCAGTGCTGCTGCTGGTAGGAAACAGAGGAGGAGCAACTTTTCTGGGTGAATAAACAAGCCAGGAGGGAAACAAATATAGCACACAGAACATGCAAGCTCAATCATTTTCTGGCAGGCAGGGTTTCATAACATGATTCTAAATGCCATTCTAACCAATTACTCCTATAAAATACTAGAAAACAGGACTGATCATATTAGTATTGTTCATATAAAAAAGGAAAAAGCAATATGGAAAACTGCTAAAATATGTACATGAAGACATATTAAGTAGCCTTACAAAAAACTTTTTAAAAATAAGTTTTCTCTAAGATTTCTTTTTTATTCAAGTAAAATGTGAGAATGCATTGTAGTGCTCCCACACCGTATCATGACTGTTCCAGATCCATAACTCTGAACTTTCATGTGAAGTGGCATTTGTACATAAAGCCAGTTAAGAAGAAAATGTTAATACTAATATGGTCAAATGATTTGCAGGCCCAGTGGAGAAGTAGCCAAAGGAAAAGAGTAAGTCAGACATTCCTGGATCTGAATGCCTTTTTGCCATTCACCTTCTATGGTACCTTGGGCAAGTCACTGCTCTTTCCAAGAGTTTCCCTATGTGTGAAATGAAAATAATGTCCTACTTGTAGGGCTGTGAAATTAAATGAGATAATAGGTGAGGATGTGAATTTAAATCCTCAGTCTACCTACCACTTACTGTGTGACTATGGACAAGGAACTAGTCAACTCAATTCAGCACATATTTATTAAATTGAGAGTACTAGGAATGCAGGACAGACATGGTTCCCGACCTCAGGAAGTTTACATTCTGGTAAGGTAGACAAAAACTCGAATAATCAGACAGTGTTAAATGCAGTGATCTGGTGTTTTCTGATAATTATGTCAGGTTGGTCTTACTGAGGTGCTATACTATATAGTACACACAATAAGGGTAGAATGTACAACTAGTGCTGAAAGTAAAGGCTTTTTTAAGAGCATATCCATTTAGCATATCCATTTATCATCACTTCATTTGCAGCAAGAGTACACTTTTAAAGTCACACTTTTTGACTTATCTCCCAATATTTCTTCTTCAAAAGTGTACACCTTTGAAATACAACTGGACTCAAATCCAACATTTTTCATTCATTCTCCAGCAGCCTCAGCCTGACCCAGGATAGACCAGATCATATAGCTAAACCACAAGTTAATAAGATTACGCTTGATAAATGGTGATTGTATAAATGCAAAAGGCCATAAAAGGAATATCTGACTAGAGTGGGAAATGGCTGCCTCTAAGACCTTTCAACTGAGGCAACGTGTTCTTAAACTCTATACATCTGAACTGAAAGACATCCATAGGAAAAATGAACCTAACTTCTCTAGATTTTAGTTTATCAGTAGCCACTGACTATCCTTGCTAGGCACACAACCTATAGCAATTTTGAAAAGTATAGCTATACTGAAAGATAGCATAAAAAAACGCACCCCCATTCACCTATTGTAATGATAAGAATATTTATTGAATACTTACCATATGCCAGGCACTGTTTTTATATGCTTTAATGTTTTCTTTTTTGGGGGGAGGTAATTAGGTTTCATTTATTTACTTATTTTTAATGGAGGTGGGGATTGAACCCAGGACCTCATCATGCTAAGCGTGCACTCTACCAACGAGCTATACCCTCCTCCCACTTTAATGTTTTATATATATTATTTCATCCCATCCTCACAATAACCCTGAGGTAGGTATTATCATATCTCTATTTTATATATGAAACTGAGACATTTTAAAGCATTTAAGCAAATGCTCAAGGTTGTCCAAGTATCCTTCAATATGTGAATTTATTCATAACTCTATATATGAACTATTATACAAATCTGTAACAGTACTATACATACAATATCATGTAACAACATACTATAAAACCTACTCATAAATCTAAAGGATGAGATTTAAAAAGAAATACAAATAAAGGCTCCACTATTTTCTTCCTGCCTTCCAATGGCTTACTGTACATGTGCTCCACTTTGGAGACCACTGCTTTAGATCATAGGCAGTCAAAATCCAAGAACAAAACAAAATGAAGATTATCAGTGGTTTTCAAACTTGAATGTGTATCACAGAATTGTTATCCTCCCAGACACACTTACAATAGCAACACTAGATTGGTAAAAACTTCTGCTCTATTTAAAGCTCCCCTGCCCTTTCCACAGAGCTTTCCAAATCTAAGACGTGGGCTCCGGGCTGGCTTGAAAGGCAAGGACTCCTCTTCAAAAGTCTACAATATAGTTCTGAGAGTCTCAGCTTCCAGAAGACTTCCTCAGGCAAAGGCATGGAGACAAAATATTACCTTCAAGGATCCTTGCACTGGCCAGACCCAGGTACATGAGAGCCTTGTAGGAAATCAGGAATAAAGGCCAAGGACACTTAACATCCAAGGCTGCTGAAATGCCTGGAGTTGATAAGCTGCAAAAAAAATCCATCTACTACCAAGTGCCAAGTTCAAGTGATATGCTTTTTCTGCGGACAAAGAGCACATTTTTTATATTGAGTCCTCACAATTTTTATTCTATAGTAGGCAAAATTGTGAAAGAGGACTAATATTGAAAACACAGATTACCACCTATTTCCATATATCAAAAATAATTAGGATTTTTTTAACAAAATTCTGAAACTCTAGCTTTTACAGTAATCCTAATAATATCTGAGAGAGTAGCTCTGAGTTTCAGTTCTCCAAAGGGGTTAAAACTTGCTTTTTTAATTTCACACCCCTCCCCCCCATCCCCAGCAAAAGAACAAGTTAATGCAAATTTAGGGTATCTTTTTAACAGCTTGAGCTTCAAAATCATCAACTTCTATAAGCTGATACCACATTGGAAGAGAACAGGTCAAGAAAAATAATCAAAAGAAAATTCCTCACCAGTGATGAGATCTGTGATTTGACAGTATGTACTTACAAATATATACATACCAGTTAAGCATAAGGCCCTGGAAAGGTGAAACCATTGATACTGTGGGATACTGCAAAGAATACACTTGTTTACAGTTTTTCTTCACATTTCTACTTGGACTCCTGCTTGAGGAAAATTGTAAGTTGATACAGAAAAAAAAAGGACCTTCAAATATCTGCAATTCGTAGTACATCAAGGAATCTTCATCTAGTGAGGGAAATGTAGCCACTTTTAGCCCCACAGAGCTGGCCTAAGAACAGAGCACATGTTTCATTAAGCAGTGTATAAGATGTTGTTATAGTCCAAATCTCCAATGAGATTTTAGTAAGGTTTTCTGATAGTTAAAACATGTAAATTGAATAAAATGTTAAGACCTCCCCTCCACTTCTCTACACGTATTCATTTGTTCTCCTTCTCTCTCTTTATATTTACACACATCTTTTTTAAAGATTAACTTCAGTTTTCCATGCCAGAAGCAGAAGGCATAAGAAAATGTCAACAGATTGTAACTCTTACATAAAACCATATACCAAAATATAAACAACTGGTAGCTCCAGACAATTCTACAAAGAGTACTCTCATGGACTCTTGGTACTAGCCACTAATAACTCATGCCTGCCATATGAACTTAGCATCCATCATCTATAAAGCACCAAAATGGGGCATTTTACTAAACGGAATGTAGTTTTTTTACCCTAGACTTCATTTGAACTATTTCCCCCCTGCTCCTATCTTAAACAAATGCTATGTTATCTACCACTAAAGGACCTTAGCTGATGGTTTTTATAAACCAAAGCAAGGCATCATAGGGAAAACAGCCTACACAAAGCCAAGTTACAGCTATGGAGGATTTGCTCTTTAGTGTATGATTCTTAAGGTACTGATGTGTTAATTAGAAGCAGACTCTACAGCAGGCTTCATAGAATTTATAAATTCCAGGTATTTAAGAGCTGCTTCTGCTCAAACAAAAACTTCTTTGCATGTAGGGGCTGCTTTCCTCAAAGGCAGGACTGGCAGTCACAAGTGCACTGTGACTATCAGCTGAACACCATTTGCACACCCACAAGGCTGGTAAGACATGAAATATATCA